ATAGCTCTGGCATCGGTTGTCCCTTTTTGCCAAGAATTGTCCGATTTCCTCCCTAAGAGAGTAGAAGCGCTGCAGTGCAGACCCCCGACTGAGCCATCTTACCTCGTTGTGATACACAACATCTCCGTATTCAGCCTGGATGTCGGGTAGAAACTGTTGAAACTGGACACAGGGCTTTGGAGTGAATATAATTAATAGCCTTCATCACCGGTTTCATAACATGATCATATTTCAGATGTTTGGCACAGAGAACTTGTTGGTGAATAATACAGTGGAGTTTTATAGCTTTGCTTCCTTCTTCTCCTGCCTCCTTTGTTACAGACTAAGGTTGATAATCCACTTTGCTCGCCAGCCATGGCAGGTGCACCATCCGTAATAATCCCAGTGACTTTATTCCATGGTAGTTTCATGTCATCTCCGGCGGAACAAACAGAAACAAAGAAATCTGTTCCTCTTGTTTGGTCCTTAAGGCTCTGGAGGTCAAGTAGCTCTTCACTCACGTTCATGTCATTGTCCACTCCTCTCAAAAAAATCAATAACTGAGCGGTGTCAGATGCATCTGTGCTTTCGTCACAGCCTAACGAAAAAGAGTCAAACTCCACTCCTTTTGCCTCTAACTGTCTCTTAATATCAGATGAAACGTCTTCAATTCTCCGTACCACAGTGTTACGAGCCAGGCAAACATTGGCAAACTCTTGCTTCTTCTCAGGACACATTTTCTCCACCATTTTCATCACGCAGTCTTTAATAAATTCACCCTCAGTAAAAGGTTTGCAGTGCTTGGCAATCAGTGTTGCCACCTCGTAGCTCGCCTTTGTGGCATTTTCATTTGACTCACGGGCTCTTGTGAAAAAGCGCTGCTATGCCATTAAAGCAGCTTCCAGTTCCTTCAATTTTTCACCGCGTTCGTTCCCAGTTAGCTTGTTGTAGTTAGCATGTTTCGTCTGGTAGTGTCTCTTGATATTGAATTCCTTGAAAACAGTCAAAGTCTCTTGGCAAATTAGGCAGACACAGTTGTTTCGTATTTCAGTGAAAAATACTCCAATTTCCACTTGTCCTGGAAGCGGCGGCCCTCGCTGTCAACTTTCCTTTTTTTAGTTACAGTCGCCATTTTAGAAATGGGCACACAAGCCTTGTGTCACAAGGGTCACGCGGCGAGAGTGCTGACTCAGGTCAACTGCCATCTTCTGGTGAAATATGACCACCAGCCTTGAAGG